GATCCTTGTGGGTCCCTTCCAACTCTTGATATTCTATTCTATTATAGTCACACAATGGCAAGAACAAAACCATAAAAGGGCGAAATTATCAAAGGTCAAACATTCCAACATTAATCTGGAAATGAAAAGAGAAGAAAATACATCTTAAATGAATACCTCAAGTGCAGCAATAGGACAGGAGGATGCCAGATATAAATCCTGAGCCAAATTAAAATCACCAGTAAACATTGCCAGATGTCCTGCTAAAAGATTGTGGTCTTCTATTCCCTGTGAAACAACATAATAGGTGCAGATGTAGACCAAAAGAAAATAAATATTGTATAAGTAACATAATCTAGTCAGCACAGTAACACAAAATATCCTTACATTTTACCACCAGGTGTATCAGATTCTACAAACCAGAATAAGCCCTCACTTTCTTACTGCAGCTCAGAGCCACTCCAGCTAACACTGCCTAAAATCAATTTGCAGAAGTGTCTTTGTAAGGTGTTATTTCATGCCACTTTTATTTGTATAATTGCAATCTGGTTTTGTTCTGGATTTTTAGAAAAATAGCAGCCTTCAACATTTTCTCAAAAACAACAAAAGGAAAGAAGAGCCTCCAAATGCCTGAGATATGAATATATTCTGCTGCTCTAAAGCAAATGCAGAAAGGAATGTTGTGTATTCCAGTAGAGACTGCCACCACTTCAAGAGAAAACAAAGTAAAAGTTATGTCATTTGGATGCTTTATCCTCTCTAACTATTAAGTTCCTTGAAAATACCTCACCTTCTATTCAAAAAAACCCAACCCCTCACCCAAAAAGAAGAATCAGCAATTCTTCAAGAGGAATTAAATCACTGTAATTCCTATTCAAAAGAGGCTTTTTATTTTACCTTTATTTGCTCTAGAGACATCACCATCCCAGCATTCCCGAACGTCCGGTAAACACGAATTGCAAACTCCACCTCCATGTGATGTAAGCAAGCTTTGGCCAGCTCATTCCATCCAGACTGCTCATTCAGAAGCCTGCACACCTCCCATGCCTCAGAAAACCTAGACAAGGTAAAACACACTTTCAAATATTTTATTTTTACGTATCATTCATACCTAGAAATTCCCTCCTTCCTCTCAACGTTTTTCCCCTGCGTTAGAGAAAACATAAAAAGTATTTATGTTTTTTTCCATGGAGGGAGAGACATATATAGGGAAGAAAGGAAAAATACCAAGGTATGCCTTACAGTTCTATTTCTCTCATTTCTCCC